GACTTAAATTTAAGACCTGAAATTAGAAGAAAACATAAACAGTAAACTCTCAGCTGTAGGTCTTACATCTTTTTGAATGTTTCCCTGGACAAGGGCAACTAAAGAAGAAATAAACAAACAGGACTACATCAAACTAGAGTTCCTGCAAAGCAAAGGAAACCATCAACAAAACGAAAAGGTAACACTGAAATGGAGAAGTTATTAGCAAACTATGTATCTGATAAGAGGTTAATATCAAATATATTTAAGGAGCTCATTCAACATGAACACCAACCCCTGCCCCCACAAATAATACAATTAAAAATGGGCCGAATACCTGAACAGACATTTCTCCAAAGACATACAGCCAGCAGACATATGAAAAAAATGCTCATCATCATTAATCATCAGGGAAATGCAAATGAAAACCACAATGAGATACCATCTCACACCTGTCAGAATGGCTAGCATCAAAAATCAACAAATAACAAGTACTGGTGAGAATGTGGAGAAAAGGGAATCCTCATATACTGTTGGTAGGATTGTGAATTAGTGCAGTCACTATGGAAATCAGTATGGAGATCCCTGAAAACATTAGAAATAGAAACAGCAATTCCACTTCTAGGTATTTATCTGCAGGTAACAAAAACAGTAACTCAAAAACACATGTGCACCCCTATGTTCACTGCAGCATTACTTACAATAGCCAAGATACAGAAGCAACCTAGGCATCCATCAATAGATGAGTGGGTAAAGAAGATGTGGTTGATATATACAATGGAGTATTACTCAGCAACAAAAAGAATAAAATCTTGCCATTTGCAGCAACACAGATGGACCTACAAAGTATTACAGATAAGTCAGTTAAAGAGAAATAAGGTATGCTTTTGCCTATTTGCAGTATCTAAAAAACCCAAAAGGAATAAACAAAACAGAAACAGACCCATTGAACTAGAGAACAAGCTTATGGAAGCCAAAGGGGAGCAGGGTGGGAAATAGGTGAACTTTAAAGTGAAAAAGAAGGAGATGTAGTAGAGCCACATATATAATAATTGTGGAGATATTAGAAAGAGCATCAGACATGATAAAACTGAGTTTCGTATCAGAGATGTTGCAAATATTTGTAGGATTCAAATAAACTTACTGGTTTCTTATTTTGATCTTATTCTTTGATTTTAAAAATGATGAAATGTAGACTTGCCTGAAACATGAACAAAGGGAAAATGAAGACTGACGGGGGAGCTAATGAAATAGAGTCCTAGGAGTTGTTGGACGGTAGGCTCTTACTAAAAACGACAGTCAGGAGCAAATATCCCCAGGGAGACAGGCCATGGTCATGCATTGGAAGACAAATATTGCTAAGGTAAAAATTCTTCCCAAATTGGTCTATAAGTATAAACTCCTATCATGATCACAGTAGGTTTTTGGGTAGAAAATGACAAGCTGGTTTTAAGATGTCATGGAAATACAAAGGACCTGGTACATCCAAGGCAATCTTGAACAAAACTGGTCTTACACTAACTACCTCACTTCAAGACTTAACCAGGCCCTGGCCAGGTAGCTCAACTGGTTAGGGTGTCATCCTGATACACAAAGGTTGTGGGTTTGATCCCCTGTCAGAGCACCTACAAAAATCAACCAATGAGTGCATCAAAACATGGAACAACAAAATCGATGTTTCTCTCCCTTTTCCCCTCTCTCTAAAAATCAATAAACAAAAAAACCTTTAAAAAGACTTAACCATAATAGTAATTATGTGGTACTGGTATTGGGATAGACAAATAAATCAAAAGAACAGAATAGACTCCATAAATAGACCTAAACTTACAAAGTCATCTGATTTCTGATAAAGGCATTAAAGCAACACAACTGGAAAAGGAGAGTTGTTTTTTCTTTTTTAACAATGATGCTGAAAACAATTGGATACCTGTGTAGAAAAAAAATGAATCTGACCCCAGCCTAACACCATGTACAAAATAACTCAGAGTGGATTCTAAACCTGAATGTACAACCTAAAATTATAAAGTTCCTAGAAGAAAGCATAAGACTGTACTCATCACAAAGAGTTTCTTACAACACAGACCAATAAACCATGAGGAAAGTGAATATCAATCCATCAATTGGGAATATATTCTGTGAGGTATGTCTGACAAAGGACTTATATCCATAATATGAGGATATAACTCATAAAACTCAAGAATAAAAATACTAACAACTAAGTTGACAACAACATACATAAAATAACCCAACTGAAAACAAAAGTAGGCAAAAAAATTGGACACTTCATAAAAATAGCCAAGTGGCCAATAAACATGTAAAAATGTGCTCATCATTCATGATCAGGGAAATGCAAAATAAAACCACAATGAAATACCACTAATGCACCCATCATATGGCTGAAATTAACCACTGAAAACCAAATGCTGGCACAAATGAGAAGCACCCAAACTGTTATAAATCACTGGTAGGAATAAAATGGTCCAACTACTTGTGAGAAAGATGCGTCACCTATTCCAAGATATCTATTTATCCCAGCAATTCCATGCCTATGAATTTTTACCCAAGAAAAATGAGAATGTCTACAGACTTGTTGATACCACTATTCATAAAGGCCCTAGAGTGGAAAACACTGTATTCATGGTGGAATACTATTTAGCTACAAAAAGCAACAAATTACTTGGAGCAACATAGATTAATATCACAAACATCATGCTGAATGAACAGAGCTTTATACAAAGGACTACTATGATTCCATTTCTGTAAAGTTCCAAACCAGGCAAAACTAATTTATGGTGAAAACTATGTAACAGGATGCTTTGGGGGTTAGGGGTGGGGCTAGGGATGACATGAAATTGGCAAGAGGTGATAGGAACATTCCCTATCTGACAGGTATTTGGGTTAGATAGATACATGCATTTGTTAAAACTTAGCAAATGGTACTTAAAATTTGTGCTGTTTCACTACTATGAAAATTTTTGCCTCAAAAAAGACCAAAAAATAAAATATGAGATTATCATTATGGCAGCTTTTCAATGACTTAAAATAGTTCTCGAGTTCCAGGAAATTCCCTGTTCGGTTCAATAATAGTAAATGACAAATTATCAAACTTAAGTTATGTGCCATGTACTGTGGCAATTATTTTGCACATCATTCTCCTTCAGTCATCAAGAACCCTGAGGGTAGGGGTCACTGTTAACCCATTTTACAGATGAGGACAGTGAGGCTCAGTAAGGCCAACTGGCCCAAAGTTGTATAGTACTTGCTATCTCAACACCCTGCATACAATTTGGATTTCTGATGATTAGTCACCCTCACCCCACTCAAACTTGACAGACAGGAACTGCAAACTGAATCTGCATGACATTACTGATTTTTGGCCAAATTCTTATCTCCTGATAATGTTTTTGTGTGTTGTAGCTCCCCTCACCCCAGTGCTAAGTGAATTTCAAGTGCATGCAATAGTGTTAGAACACTTTTAAGGCGGCTCATTTTTCAGCAGCTATTCTTTCTAGTCCAGTGAATTTCCAAACTTTTCTTCGCATCAAATCATATGAAAACCTTGGTAAAATATAGTTCAAAGGGTTGAATGGCTGGACAGGACACCCTGCCTTTCCCACTCCTGTATGAGCTGCTGTAGGTGATGGTTGTTCACACATACACTTGCTCATGTGGGCATATATAAAGCTCTATAAAATAATATTCATAATACCCTTATATGGTGCAATTTAATACTTCCTGTGATAAACACCAAACTGACTTAGCAACTATTAAAAGCTCAAAACCCATCTTTTGAAAAACACTGCTCTAGGTGTGTGCTGACTACACTTGCTTGATTAGTCTTTACTGACATCACCAGCGAAAACTTGAGAACTTGCCGAAAATATACTGATTTCAGGGCCTGAGACACAACTTAAGAGACCAACTGAGAAAAAGGTCCCACACAGAATGCTCTGGAACTCTCAAAGTATTTTCAAGTTCAGAAGTTAATGATTTGTTCTACTCCTTCTTGGGAATACAGAAATCTCTCCCCATATAATTTTTTTTTTTTTTCAAATACATTTGTCTCTGCCTCCTCCCTCCTTCCCTCCCTCAGCTCTTCCCCTTTGGTTTTGTCCATGAGTCCTTGCTATATGTTCCTTGACTTTCCCCTTCCCTTCCTTTTCCCCGCCCCCCCTTCCCTCTTGTCTTTCTAGTAAAAATGGGCTAGAAATGTTGGTATTTAATAATTTTTAATTGAGCTTGGGGGCAGATCGTGAGGTATCCACCAAAGATTTCTTTTAAAAAGCTACTTGAATTTCAAGGTGCATAATTCTCTAGACTCAAGTGATTTTAAAATAATTTTATTTTCGATGAGAGGAGAAAACATTGGTGTGACACAGGAACATCAACTGTGTCCCAAGTGGGGACTGAACTTGCAACCCAGGCATGTGCCCTGACCAGGAATTGAGGTGGTGACCTTTTGGTTTGTGGAATGATGCCCAACCAACTGAGCCACACCAGCCAGTTTAGCTTTAAGTTTTCTTTGAAGGAGTAATCAAGCCTTTCCTTCGTACCCAAAGTAGGGGAGGAGAGATCATAAATGAAGTGCTTCAGCGAGATCTGAGTTTCCAGAAGCTGTTGCTGTGAGCCAGGTGTGAAACCATTGCCCTGCCACCAGCTGCCACATCAAAGCCACTTTTCAAACAAATTGAGAAGGTTCTCCATCCTTTCAAACTGCTGTTTCATGCTGGATTAGCTACTTGATACTAGTATCTTCTGTCACTTTAACACAGAGGACAGACCTACAGCTCAGGCTCAGTGTGAGGGACTGTCCAACCAGTGACCGGGAAGGCAAGACGATCGAACAGGTCAAGAGCACAGTAACACAGAACTCACAAGTCAAGGCTGGAATGGTTTCTACTGCATCTGGCTCCAGAGTGGTGGTGGGAACAAAATCAGTTGCAAGTACTTAGGATTCCTGAAATGTAATCGTTTTTTATTATATTTAAAAGCACATAGAAGTCTCCTTGATTTATAAAAAAATAAATATGTTAACATGACCAATTTCTTCATGATCCTGGGGCTCTTATGAGGTCAAACTCTTTAATGGATGTGATGTGTCAATGTAGAACAAGCACTATCAGTTACACACACAGAAGCGTATTCCAGTTGTAAATGCCAGCTTCCTTCAAGGTTCAGAATGAAGATCACTCTTCTACTGGGGAAAGTATGTCCAGAGCCGGGCAACGAGGTTGGGCGGGCACAGCAGTCTCTGACCAGCCAGCATACAATCTAAGGAGCCAGGGCAGGAGGGCACCGCCCTTCAGCTCACAGGGCCGCCCTACAGGGCAGCCAGGCTTCTAAACCAGAGCGGAATGGCAGATTCCCTCGCTGGGCCCCAGGCTCCTGCCTCCCTGACTATGAAGCTCAGGGGGGAGGATTTTGTTCTCATTTGTGGCTCTTACGTGTGAGAAAAGACTGAGAAGATATAAGATATGCTCATTAAGTGTTTTCATTATAGCACTGAATGGAACTCATGACCCTGACCACAGGCACTGAGTAGACGGAGAACACAAGCAGCTCACACTGGGCTTTACTAGACACGGTGAGTGAGCATGCACTTCTGAAGGGGGCAGGAAGGGGGGCTTTTTCCAGCTGACATGCGCTCTAGGGTGAAGAAGTTTGGCCTAAAATACTTGAGAATGCTGCACAAACTGGGGATGTGGGAATCAGGTTTTTAGCCCTGTAACACACAACATAAAAAACCAAAATCCACTCTCATTAGTAGATAAATTTTGATTAAAACCTGAAATGTTTTTGTGTAATTGTCAACAAGTTGGAATGTATCTGATACAGTTTAATCTGCTGTTGTTTCTTTGGCTGTTTTTGATTTAAATCTAGAAACTGTTCTGATACCTCGATCCTATTTTCCAAACCACTTAATTCCTGTGATCTTAAATTGGCTAGTTCTCTTTTGGGAAAATTATTCACAACAACCTTTCTAATAGTGATGGTGCACTTCTGAATAGAAGAGACCTTCGGCTGAAATAGCATCTCCAAGGCCCACAGTTCGAATAGGATCTTTACAGACCAATACGGGTGTGAAGTGGAAGGACACCCCCTCCCTGTGCCATCCTACCACTGGCTCGTCAGGGTTGAATATGATCCTGGAGCCTGCCTCTGAACGCGAAGTCAGGAACTCGCGTGGTGCCCTCAGGGACACTTGACTGGTGTCTATGGTTTCTGTTGCGCAGGCCTGTGTCCCTGCCACACGAGCTCCTGCAGCCACAGCAGCAAGCTGGTTGGCCCAGTATCCATCCACAGTGACTAGGATGTGGTAGGCCAGCGTGTGGAAGTGGATCCTAGTGAGGTCTGAAGCTCTGCTTTTACTCTTCCCATGTTCCTTCAAGATCCAAAAGAGGATGTCACTGACCACGCCCACATCAGGAACACCGTTCCAGGAAGAGAGAGAAGAGTGCGGTCCAGCTGCCGACTGGCTGAGAAATAACAGCTCCTGTTCATTCAGCCCAAGGGAAGTCACCGCATGAAAGACCTGCTAACAAAAACAAAATGACATCTTTCTGATTCACATGAGGAAGGTTTCTTAGGACAGAGCCAATGACTAAAGTCAGGGAAGGAAGGCAGGATGGATGACTTCTTCCTTAAAAGACTCCGTGCCCCTAAAGTGTGTGGTGGGGAAGTATCAAAGTCACTGTTTTCACAATTACACCTCTATCTGCACCTTCATTATCACTCGAGATAAACGATAAAGTTGCAGTAACACTGTCTTAGATCCAGTCTTTTGTTAAATGCCATTATATGACAAAGGACAGAGGTGTACACATCTTGTATTTCTTCCCGTGGTGCCTATGTAACAGTATTTAAGAAATGAATTTATATGCATACACGGCAGATCCTCTCGCCATTGATGGGATGTGACTCTCAGCTCCTGAATGTCGCAGGCATTATGCCAGTGAAGCACGGAAGGCCCTAGCGGCACACAGTCAGGGTCACAGTGGATCTGTCTATATAACAACACCGGCAAGCAAGAAGTTTCAGGTTAGAGTTAAGCTTTTTAGGCAGGTGTGGGGTGAGGAAAATTTTACTTAGTATTAACACTGTATGAAAAAGGGAACTACACAGGAGCCATTGAGTCTGTTCTCTTTAATTTTTAAAAAATTTTATTTTTAAATTAGAGTTGACATATAATATTAGTTTCAGGTGTACAACCCCAAGATTAGGCATTATGTTACTTACTAAGCGATCATCCCAATAAATCTAGTACCCATCTGACACCATAGTTATTAGAATATCACTGACTATATTCCCTATGCTGTACTTCACATCCCTGTGATTATTCTCTAATACCAATTTGTACTTAATCCCTTCCCCTTTTTTACACATCCTGCTAACCACCTTCCCATCTGGCAACCATGAAAATGTTTTCCATATCTGAGTCTGTTTCTATTCTGCTTTTTTAAAATGACTTTTTCTTATTTTTCGATTTTAGGGGGGAGAGGGCGGGGAGGGAGGAATGGGGGAGAAAGGGACAGAGAAAGGAGGGAGAGGGAGGGAAGGAGAGAGAAATATCCATCTTTTGTTCCACTCATTTATGCATCCATTTTTGTATGTGCCACAACCTTGATTTATTGGGACAGTCATCTAACCAACTGAGCTACCCAGCCAGGGCTCCTCTGCTTCTTTTATTTCTTTAGATTCCACATGTAAGTAAAATCACCTGGCATTTGTCTTTCGCTTTCTGACTTATTTCACTTAGCATACCACCGTTTAGGTTCATCCATGTTGTTACAGATGACAAGATTTCCTTCCTTTTCATGGCTGAATCATATTCATTTCTGACTGGTTCTTTTTTTATGGTTTTCATGTCCTTTTTTATGCTGTTGAAGTTCTAAGTTCCTTGAGAATCCTTATAACCATTGTTTTGAACCCTGTATCTGGTAGATTGCTTGCCTCCATTTCATTTAGTTTATTTTTTGGAGATTTCTCCTATTTTCTCGTTTGGGACCTGTTTCTTTGTTGCCTCATTTTGGTTGCTTCCCTGTGTTTGTCTCTATATAACAGGTAGAGCTGCTATGTCTCCCAGACACAGTAGAGAGGCCTTATCTGGTAGGTGTCCTATAGCGCCCAGTGGCAGAGCCCACCTGACCACTGAGCTGGATGCTCCAGGCGCATCCCATGTGAGCTGTGTGCACTATCCTATTATTGGCATGTCACTGGTAAGGATTAATCCCCAGGCCGAGTGGCTGCAAGGACCGACAGCAACTACAGCAGAGAAATTGCCGTGCATGAGCCCAACCTCATGTAGTTGGACTCACTTCACTGCGGCTTTGGTGTCTGCCAAGTCCGCCCTTGAGTGTCATTCATGGAGGTGGTTGGGTTGTAATCCACAGTGGTCTGATGCTGTCCACCAGATGCACTGGCTCTGGGCCCTCCTGGGAGGTGTAAGGTCAGCCACTGCCTGTGCCCTGACCAGGACCACCTGGCATGAGCTACAGAGCAATCTGCAGATGGATGCTACTTGTGCTGGGCTTGGAGGTGCTCAGGAGAGGTGAAGCTGTTGAGGTTGGCTGCTGCTAGTGCCAGGTCTGGGGCTACTGAGCAAGAGGTATGGGTATGCACAGGCCAAATACTGCTTGTTTAAGAAATTTTAGGCAAGTCCAAAGCAGGACCCGAGAGAGGCTCTTAGTATGGAAAAGCTACTGGAAGGGGCTTGGGTAGGTCTGCAAGTTGCGTGGAACGGGGACTCAGGTACTCACCAGGGGGAGCTACCAGTGTTAGCCAGGTTGATGGAGGCTCAGATACAGTGCCTAACTGCCAGCTCCAAGGGGAAAGGACTCATCAAAGAAACAATGGTGCTTGCCAGCACTTCTGTCTGAGACAAAGCTATCCCTCCCTCCTTGTATGCCCCTAGTGCATTTCTAGTTGCTGCATCAGCGCTGGAGCTCAGAGTGAGTGAGTCCCAGTAAATTCATCATGCACCTGTGGGCCCTTAAAGAGGAGCATCTGGGACTCAGAAGCCCTCCATCTCACTCAGCCATAATTCCCATGAGTCTTTAGTCAGAAGTTATGGGGACTTCTCTTCCTGGCCCTCAAACCCTAGACTGGGGGATCTAATGTGGGGCTGGGACCCCTCATTCCTTAGGGGGGACCTCCACAGCCAAGGTATCCCTCCCCATATGCTAGGTGTCAGATGTATATGTGGGACCAGCCTGTATCATGCTTCCACCCATCCTACCTGTCTCAATGTGGCTCCTTCTTTATATCCTTAGCTATAGGACCTCCATTCAGCCAGATTTCGGGCAGTTCTGAATGATGGTTCATAGCAGTGTTATGTCAGTGTTATGCCAGTGTTATGTAACATTAACAGTGTTATGCAACATAACATCTATGCAACATCTGCAACATAAACATAGCAGTGTTATGCCAGTGTTATTTCACAGCAGTGTTATGTTCATAGCAGTGTTATTTATAATAGCCAAGTGCTGGAAACAGCTCAAGTGCCCATCAGTGAATGAGCGGATCAAAAAGCTGTGGTACATTTACACAATGGAATACTATGCAGCAGTTAAAAAAAAAAAAGGAGCTCTTACCTTGGGAGACAGCATGGATGGACCTGGAGACTATTATGCTAAGTAAAATAAGCCAGTCAGTGAAAGACAAATACAATTTGATCTCACTTACAGGTGGAATCTAACAAACAAAATAAGCTAACAAACAAAATAGAATCAGAGGCATAGAAACATGGAACAGACTGACAGTTATAAGAGGGGAGGGAGGGAGATGGGGAGTGGCTGTAAGAAGGGATCAGCTAAAGAACCTATATGCATGACCCATGGACATGGACAATGGTGTGGGGACTGCCTGAGGGAGTGGGGGGGCTGGGTGCAGGGGGCTGAAAGAGGGAAAAATTGGGACAACTGTAGTAACATAAACGATAAAATATTTTAAAAAAGAATATTTCATATTATTAGAATTAGAAAAAAAATAAGTTAAAAAAACACTATTCCATAATACCATTTTTCACTTATCAGACTGGTAACAATGCACATTTTTAATCATTCTGGTCTCAAGGATATGAGGAAATAATAAGCACCTGTAAAGAAGTCTAGTGGAAGTAAATTGGTATTAATTCTCCTGAAGGGCAATTTGGCCATCTCAATCTTACTCATGCTTTCTCTCTTCCCATCCAGCCAATTTTACTTCTGAGAATTTGTCATACACATGTACTTGCTAATGGGAAAAATAAAGCCACGGACAAAGTTACTGGCAGCAGCACTGCATGGAACAGCAATGGACAACACACCAAATGCCCATTGAGAGGATTTAGGTTCAATAAACCGAGATGCCTCATGTTCCTTTTAACCATGTGGCTGTGAAATGAATGAGGGTACTCTCCAAGTGATGACAGAAAAAGATCTCCGAAATCCACGTTAGTGAGGAGCATTTGAAATCTTGCACCCTAGCATATGCTATCAGTTTGGCACAAGTAAACTCTTATTAAAATAAAAAAAAAGAAACCCACTTAGTGAAAAAAAGTGCAGAACGATGTATTCAGTATGCTCTTTGTGATTAAAAAGGGATGAAAAAATAAGGATATATTCCTATATTTGCATATCTATGTACACAATAACACTGGAGGGATGCAGATGAAACTAAGATTGCTAACAGTGGGTACTGGTGGTGGGAAAAAGGGAGGGTGACTTCTTTGCATAGCTTTCAATGTGAATCTTACCCATTAAAAAGGTTAAATAACAGTAAAATGAAAAGTTAATTAACCTGCCTAAGTTCATAAAGCTAACCCAGGTTCCCCAAGTCTCTGTTCCAAAGCATTACCATCTCCAATTTAGCTCATCATTGCTGCTGCCTTGAGGCAGGAGTTGAACACGGGATGCCTGGTGGTGTGGGAGCGAAGCTCCCCCGGTTTCCTTTCTCTGAGGTCCTGATGTTCAGTTGAAAGCAGATGAGCAGAACTTTCAGTTTTCCCCTTTGAGTTCTACTGTAGACCATTCACTCCCAACTTCCCCATTCCAGAAGAAGAAATAGCCCATGAACCCACAGATACACCTCCACATTTCTAACCTAGCAGGAGATTCTGCTTCAGAACAGTTCTGGTTCCTTATTTCAATCTCTGAGGACCTAGGTCTGAGTAACATGACAGCCACACCTCAGTGAGCTGGCCCCTGAGCCCAAAGAGCTGGTCCCGCTGGACAAAGGCAGGTCTGCGCGAGGCCCCAGGAAAGTCAGGGCCAAAGAGAGCCCCACGTATCGCCCACATGGTTACCTGATGCACAATGCTGCTCATGAGCTCCCTATTAGTCATACTGGCCAGTTCTAGGTGAATTGGAATACCAGCTGGGATGTCAGAAATGGAGGTCACAACCTGCAAGAAGAGGACAGCACTGCCATTAGATACAGAAGTCAGGCAAGAGGAAGAAAAGATCAGGCCCTAAGAGGCAATGTCACTGTCACTGTCTTCTCTGCACCCTCATGAGAGCTCCAAGCCAGGGAGGTTTCCACGGCCTCTGTGGATGAGGGATGTTTTCCCCAACAGGGACACCTAGGCTCTGCAAAGAGGCGCTGGGTTACAGACTCCGAGAGCACGAAGGACTGCCCCGAATGTTCATGTCGTCAACCTGGTCCTGAGGATCTAAATGAGCAGACGGCTTCAACTGCTGTTTGAATCTGCAACAACAGCTGATGGGAAGTGAGATGACACAGATAACACAAAGGACACAAACAACAGACACTGCAGCTTTCGGCCACATTTGGTTTAGCGCTGTATACAGGGGCTCAGGCAGGAAAATGTTCTGACCTGTTCCGCTCAAGCTGCAGCCCGTGTCTGCAAGAATACTGCGAGGTGCCTCCCTGGAGCAGAAGGCAGGTTCAGAGCCAGCTGCCATGCTGTGTCTCGGGGAGGTTAGGACTGAGGGCAAGGCAGCCTAAGCTGCAGGGGCCACAAGAGGCAGGATTCTGAGAAACACACTAGCTAAGATCTGTGCGATTCTTTAACAGTGCTGTTACCTCCAAGAGTCTCTTCCTCTGGAGCTCCTTGCTTTGTCCCTCCATCATGTGCAATCCAGAGAGGACCACGAGGTCTGGCTGAAACTCCTCCAGGCTAGACACAAACACCTCCAGCATATTCATGGCCCCGTTGGAGAGGTCGTGGGAGAAGATGAATCGGTTGGCATGGGGAGCTTTTAACTGGCCCCACTCCTCCCCTAGAAAAGCCCAGTTGACATAATGGAAAGAAAAGGAAGAGGCTTTAAGTCTCTTAGCTGCGAGGGGCTTGCAGGGGCCCCCTGGAGCCTTTGCTCCGGGCAGGCTGGCTCTGGCTGAGTGGACCCTCGCTACAATGGCCTAAGGTAAGCCCACGCTACATCCAGGAAGACGGTGGTCAGTAATGAAATAAACCAAAGAAAACCCAAACCCTGACCCCACAAAAACAGAAACACAGTATGGGTGCTATATGTCTTTGCAAAAGGGCTGGCAACTAGTTCCCCTCAAGTCCCAGGAAAGCTCCACTGATCACTGAGCTTTTCAAACACAGGATGCCTACGTCCTTTCTCGGTTACAGAGCAGCAGCATGACTCCCAGATACCGGCATACAGTGCATACCAAGTATGTCCCCGCACACAGCAATGCTGCCTTTCTGTCTCCACCTCACAGCAGTGCCCAGAGCACCTTTCACTTAGGTGGGGCCCAAGGAAGCTGAAATTCCAAGAGTCTAGCTGCCTGCACTCCCTCCTCCCTCCCAGTGTTTTCCAGGCCCTTGGTCCAGAAGGTAAGAGCATCTGGCTGCTCTACCATCCTCTGAGTGAGCTGCTTGGAACAATGAATGTTCAAGATCAAGTTCAAGTGCTGCTTCCTCCCTGAATGGCTTTTGACTGCTGCGGCCTGAGGTACACTTTCACTACTCTAAGCAACCACGGAAAGGAAAATCTCTTTTCTGATAATCATTGTGCTTTGAGCTATCTCTTCTATTATTTTGAACTAGCAGTCAAACCTATGTTGTTACTTAACTTTTCACACATTTGTGCCATATCTCCCGAACAGATTGCTAGCTCTTTCAAGGGAACACTGCATGTCTGGTTCCCATAGCATCTGTTACAACCCCCACACGGGGAGTTAGATCCATCCTTGGGTGGGTCTCCTTGCAGGGGGAGGATTTTGGAGTCTGTGCTCATTTATAGGAGTGGCTCTCAGCACTGGCCATGCATCAGAATCCCCTGGAAAACCTAGCTTTAAATGTGCAGCTGTTTGGTCCTGGCAAGGTAGCTCAGTAGGATACAGAATCGTCCCAATATGCCAAGGTTGCAGTTCAATCCCCAGTCAGAGCACATACAAGAAACAACCAATGAATGAATCAATAAGTGGAATAAAAACTAGTGTTTCTCTTCCTCCCTCTCTCTCTCTAAAATCAATAAACATTTTTTTTAAAGTGCAGGTGGTGAGGTCTCACTGCTGAAGATCCTGACATGCAGTAGGTGGAGAACTAACTAATTAAGACCCCACAAGCTGCCCACTACTTGAGAGGAGTGTGAGTCCTAAAGCAGGAAAGGTGAGAAAGGCTCTCTCTGAGCTCACTTGGTGAAGCGTCGCGATCAGAGGCTTTACTGCACAGAGCTCACCTCCTTGTCCATAACGGGGTGGGGAGAAGCAGGTTACCACCAACTTGGACACTATGGGGAAATTTTATAAATTTCATTTATAAAATGAAAGTCCATACACTGAAACCTAGTAGAAAGATTTGGTTTCTATTATTGGATTGGCCAAAAAGTCCGTTACATTTTTTTCCTGTAAGACAAAAGACATGTTTTTCATTTTCACTAGTAACTTTATTGATTTGGATATTCTGAATATGTTGGCTATCTCCTGCTATTGACTTCTAGTGGGCAGTTGCCATAGCATACTGCTAAACAGCTTCCAATGCATAACAATGGGAAGCCCCAACTGCAAAGATTGGCAAAATGTCAATAGCACCAAGAAACTTGGCAAACTACTTTTGTTTGACACATTCGATCAGTCACAGCACCTTCTCCACACACTGCACAGACCTTTTTTTGTATTTCAGTTGCGTTTTTTACCTTTCTTGAAATAATAAAGCATAATAGGCCAAAAATGTTGCATTATTTCTTTCACCTTTAGTATTAAAATGGCTGCACAAAAATTCACTAATTTGGTAAGTTTTTTTCTTTTAAATGCATGCTGATATGATAGCTGCCACAATACAATCTAACAAAATTGTTTCGAAAGAAGTCAAAGACAACTAAGCACTACTAGAGCCATTGCACAGGAAAAAAGTAAGAGACTTTTTGGACAACCCAATGCATTTACTGGATATTCCTTCAGAAAGGCTTCTCCTCAGCTTGCAGGTGACATGCCAACTGCAGTTAGCAACCTCCTTCCTTTCTGCAACGGGCATATCCAAACAGCAGCCCTGCCTCTTCATGGTGAGTGCGTGTGGGGCTTACTACAGAGCAATGGTCAAACTCAGGAGAACCCATCCTTCCTTTGCTTTGAGCGCAGCTTTCTTGACTCCATTCCTCTGAAAAACATATGTGAGTCACTTATACAAAAATCTATGAAAACAAAAATAAAAGACAGTGCCTATTTACTGAACCCCAAAGCAATGGTTACATCTGTTAAAACTAAATTCCTTTCTTAGCTCCTGGCCCAGGTTCAAAGAAAATACCCTGTGGTGGTCTACAGAGCTGAGTGTAGTATTCCAGCTCTGCTTCATTTAAAGATCAGACACTAGAACAACCTCCCATGTAGCCTTTCCTAACTCTGCCACCCCAAGAAGGCCCAATTATTTCCTTTCCTGGGCCAGAGCTACACCCAGTTATAGGACTCGGCATACCACTTTGCAGTCATTTGTTCAGGAGTCCATCTCCTGCAGAGGGGACAGTGAGCAGAGGGCAGAGCCGTCTCTTCTACTATCATCATACTCCTACTCCTGGTGCACAGCCACATGAATGAACGGCAAGATACATGAGTAAGAGAACAGACTTAAAACTCTAATGCCTACAACAACGAAAAATATGGGTATGAACTCCAAGTCCAATTATTTCCCCAACTAATGAGACTACACAAGGGGGAAAATACACGACATTAGTATTCTCCATAGGGCAAGACCTGGAACTGGCCCTTTAAGAGTAAAGCTGCCAAGAAGCACTGCCTAACTTAACCCAGGAAAAAAGAGCCACACAGCATTCAAAATAAATCAATTCCTTCAGGATAAAAGTGAGAGAGGCAAAAATAAATAGCTGTTCATTGGCTGTTTCCAAAGGACAAGAGACTGATGGAGCAGCCTGAGAAGCAAAGTGACTGAAGTTCAGACAGGGTGAGCCTCTAACAATAGTTAATGACCCTCTTTTCGGACAAAGCTTTGAATTTTTTTAAGTGATTATTTCTCAACTTATCAACCTGTCCTTCAGCCAGCAAATCAGCAAAACCTGTGTAATGGCTCAGTGGATCGCCAGCCCAAAGCCTGAAAATAAGCTTCTCTGGAGAAGTCTGGCAGGAGAGGAGGAGGAAAAAAGTTGACAAGTCCCCTCTGGTACTTTATTCACCCAGGTCAGAGAGAAGCAGGGGATGGATTTCTGTTTGGAGAGCTGACCCAATGGCTGCAACCGCCAGACCAGGTTTCCTCCAGGGGCTGACAGAAGTGTGACCTCACACTGTTTAATAAAAGGTCACTGTTTTGTACTAAGAAAATATGGCTGAGAAAACAAAAAACTGAAGTATGAAGCTTATAATCCCAAGGATAAAGACAATCTCCTGTCAAGATAAGCAGTGCCATCTTCTGAATTACATACAAGGCACGCCTGTCAAATCCAACGGCCGTCTTGGTGAGGAAATCAGTCTCTGCACTCTCTGGTCTCCAGGGCAAATGATTGAAACCAAGAACCAGGAAATGACATGAGTGCCCACAGAAATGGAAGTGAGTCAGCAGCACATCAAAGGGACAACTATGGTTAACCTGAGCCTTCTAGTCAACAGTCTTGTTCATGCCTTTCATAAAGCAGCTCACAGTACTTTAAACACACTAACCTCTCTTAATCCTCAATACAACATTCAGGCAGTAGGGAGAAACTAAAACAGAGAAACTCAAAACCTGTCTGTTATTAAATGTCAACTGTTTACCCCAACATTCTGTCCCTAATTTTCAGACCCTGACCTTCCTAACTTTTCTGACTGAACAAGGAACAATTCCCTTTTTGTTCTTGGAGAAAGGCATAATTTTCAAGGAGCACTATATTTCTCTTATGTTAATTATAATCACTCTAGTAGGTGAGGTTTCCTTAATTGTCTGACTTGGAAGCAGTTCACTGAAGCATATTAAGTAAGTACTGCTTTAAGGTACCAATTAGTCCGCTTTGATGCTTCAGTCTTTTACTTGGATTAATGCGTTGAATCAGAAACTTAAGAGGCTGACTTCTGAGCAGAGGAAAGATACCACAGCAAAACACACAGAATCAAATAAACATTACGTTCAGGTATTTAGGATTCTTTCAGAAATCAAATCTGCAGCATCTAACATAAAATCTACTGGGGGAGGGAAGGAAGGGGTGGTTGGGAGTGATAAAACACTGAAACATTACAGAATGGAAAATGGTATGTGCTGTTACACACCCAAGAGAAAACAAACTACTTCACAGAAAGCTTGCTAGAGGCCTAGAACCAATTCTAAGAAGCCTGAAACAGTTGGCCAGAAATGCCTAGGGCAGAGTCCAGCACAGAGCTGAGCAGATGTTATCTGCCCTGTTCTTTCCTCAGTAATAAAGAAAACTTTATAGGTGTATGTTCAGTGCATTTTCATTTTTATTCAAGATGCCTGCTGTCTATAGCCTGACTTCTCTTGGGTTCAGATCAACTGTTTGTAGACCTGGGAATTTTCTTCACTGTCGTAATACTCTAGCACTCTCCCTTGAGACAATGGCCAGGATCAGCACAGGAAACCTTTATAAAGCGAACAGGATCCTACTAACTCTCACGGATAAATTTTTAGCACAGTCACACCTCAGACTAACAATACCAGACTCCTCTGACATGTCTTACACTACTACGTACTCATTTCTCTTACCTGCTTGATACTCTAAAATGAGATGGAACTCATCCACTTCCTGCAGTGACTCTGGTGGAACAACTATGTTGTCATCAAGAAGTTCATGCAGCTTTGGACCAACTGGACCACAAAGAAGAACCTGCAGATGAGAAATATGAAGTCTATCAGACCTGTCCCTTTTCCCACGGAATCTCTATAGTAACTGAAAAGGTACATCCAGGCCACTTCTCATTTTAACAAAATACTGGGATCCTAATCTAATTCTAGAAGCTTCTAGTTTGGAGACATGCAATGGGGGCTATAATCAGGGTTTAGGCCTTGAGCATATGGCCACAATGTGCCCAGAAATGAGAGGCTGACAAAAGACCCACATCACCCGTGTTAGACAGGTACCTATGCTGCTGCTGTGTCGATACATCCTGTTAGGGACTCACTGTTTGTGTCCTCCCCTAAATTCGTATGTTAAAGTCTAATTGCCAATGTGATAGTATTTGGAAATAGAGCTTTCAGGAGGAAATTAAGGCTAAATGAGGTCATATGAATAAGGTCCTAACCCAACAGAACCGGTAGCCTTATAAGAGAGATTTCTTCTTACCCCCTACCACAGACACTGAAGTCAGTCCATATGAGATTACAGCTAAAAGACAGCCATCTGCAGCCCGGGAAGAGGGCCCTCGCCAGAGACTAAACCCTGCTGGGACCTTGATCTTAGACTTTCCAGCCTCCAGAACTGTGAGAGAATTAATTTTTGTTTTAAGTCACCCAGTCTATGGTATTTTGTTATTATGACAGACTAACACACCCTACCCTACTTTCTCTTTTTCTTTATTCACTCACATCCTGTATAGGCAAACAGATACGGGATACTGAAAACAATTCTGTTGGAATTTTACGCAGTATAGAAAAGAACCAATCTCAAGGATCCCAATACCCTCCCACAACCAGCTGACCTGGTATGTGGAATCAGGCTCCCTACTATACTTAGCTGTTATGAGACAGGCTACGCTTCCAAATATGATAATTAAAAAGCACCTCAATTCAGAAAGTTTGGGAACAGGTAGTCTGCAACCCTTCCATTCTGACCTGGGCCTCTCCCAGGCTACTCCTTTTAGAACCCATTCCACACTGCTGCCGTTTTTGCCCTGCCGGCTCCAGACACCACTCAGAGCCAGGTTAACAGATTCAAAATTACTGACCAACAAGGGCTTGGACCAGAATATAAAGGAAAGTACCCAGAGACCACAGCACTTTCAGAACTAATTCGCTCCACCCAGGAGGTTCAAAGGCACTTTTACTTGCTAATTAACTGCTTATTTGTGCAGAGGAACTTTCATGTATCTGAGAAACACCAGCTTTGGGGTGAATATACACCCCTGTCCCCTTTATGCCTTGATGCATGTCCATTATCTGCCAATTCTGAAAAGTCTCGCCCCTACCATTTTATTTTCTTTCTCTAATTCTGGGATATGACTTCAGCTTCTAAGATGAGGTAACAAGAGCCAGTTTACCCTCCTGCCTGAAATATCAAGGGAAAACAGATAAAATATATGCAATAATGGTTTTCAAAACATTTGGACATCGGGCAACAAAGGACAGTAATCCCTAAAAAACAGGAAAAAGACTAAGTAAGCCCTACAAATGCTTCAGCAAACTACCTTAAAAGAGTTTCCAGATATACAAGTTGAAAAGAATGTCTCACCAGCAGGCCTGTACAAGAGATGTGAAAGGAAATCCCTCAGGCAGAAGGAAAATGATATTCGAAGAAATACAGCTCTGAACAAAGGAATGAAGAGCGCCAGGAATGGTGCTGGATCAGCAATGTCTGAGTAAGTAATATCTCTTTCTTATGTTTAAATATCCTCAAGATAATTAACTACTTAAAAATATTAACAACATACTGTGAAATCTGTAAGATGTCTAAACTAAACAGCAATAATAATAATATAAAGATAAGATTGGAGAAACGGAAGTACACTGTTCTAAAGTTCTCACATTCTATGTGGTGGTATGCAAATCAGACTGTGATAGCTAATGTACGTTATAAATCCTAAAGTAACCATTAAAATAACAAAACAAAGAATTATAGCTAATAAGCCAGAGAAGATAATATGACATCATAGAAAATAATCCAAACGAGTGTAGAAAAAGAAGAAAAAGGGAAGATAAAGAGATGAGACAGAAAACAAATGCCAAGATGTCAGATTTAAACCTAACCTGATGTACATACCAACAATCACATTAAATGTAAATGGTCTAGCCCTGGCTGGTGTGGCTCAGTGGACTGAGCACTGGCCTGAAAACCATAGGGTAACTGGTTCGATTCCCAGTTGGGACACATGTGTGGGTTGTGGGCCAGGTCCCCAGTAGGGGGCGCGTGAGAGGCAACCACACATTGATGTTTGTTTCCCTCTCTCCCTCCCTTTACCTCTACCTAAAAATAAATAAAAAATATTTTTTAAAAAATGTAAATGGTCTAAAAATCCAAATAAAAAAGATTGTCAAAGTGTACTAAAAAGCAAACCCCAATTATATGATGCCTAAAAGAAATACATTTAAAATATAAAGACACAAATAGGTTAAAAGCAGAAGGATGAAAAAAGATATATCATGCTAACACTAATCAAAAGAAAGCTGGAATGGCTATTTTAATCAAAACAGATGTCAAAGCAAAGAATATTATAAAATAATTTTCTTTATCCTGGTAATGATAATGGGGCCAATTCATGAAGAGGATATAACAATCCTAAATACTTATACATCTAATAACAGAGCTTAAAAATACTGTATGAGAGCCCTGGCTGATGTGGCTCAGGGGACTGAGTGCTGGTCTGCAAACTGAAAGGCTGCTAGTTCGATTCCCAGTCAGGGCACATGCCTGGGTTGCAGGCCAACTCCCCAGCTGGGGGCATGCAAGAGTTAATGTATCCTTCACACGTCAATGTTTTTCTCTCCCTCTCCTTCTCCTTCCCTTCCTTTCTCTCTGAAAATAAATAAATAAAATCTTTTTAAAAATACTGTACACAATGCATAATGTTAATAGAACTGCAAAGGAAATAGGTAAGTCCACAATTTTAAGTGAAGATGTCAATACCCTCCCTCAATAATTAATAAATCAAGTAGATGGGAAATCAGTAAGACTATAGAAGGCTCTAACAACAATTTCAACCAGCACGGTCTAATTGACATTTATAGAACACTCTACCCAATTAACAGAATATACCATATTCTAGGCCATCAAAAAAGTCTCAATAAATGGAGTCAGAGAAGCATATTCTCTGATCACAATGGAATTAAAATAGAAATCAGTAACAGAAATATACCCAGAAAATCCCCAAACATTTAGAAATTAAATAATACACTTCTAAGTAGGCCATGGATGGGCCACTAAACAACCTATTTCCAGAAATCAAAGGGAAATTAAAAAACATTTGGACCAAAGGAAAATAAAATGCATCAAAACCTGTGGATGCAGCTAAAACAGTTCTTAAGGAGAAATTTATTGCACTAAACATCCTGTATCAGTAAACAAGAAAGGTCTCAAATCAATGATTTCAGCTTCTATCTTAAGAAACTAGAAAAAGAGCAAATTAAAGTCAAAGTAAACAGAAACCAATAAAAAAAGAGAAAAACAATACAGAAAAATCAATGAAACAAAAAAACCCCTCATTATTAATTGATAAGATCAATAAAACTGATAAATCTCTAGCCAAATTGATCAAGGAAAAAAACATTAATTTACCAGTATCAGAAATGAGCGATAATATCACCACAGATTCTCAAGATCTTAAAAGGGTAAAGGAAGTTTTAGGCCAAATAAGCTCAACAAATTAGAAGAAATGGACGAATTCCTTGAAGGATAAAATTACTAAAGCTCACTCAAAAAAGAAGAAAATCTGAATTTCTCTATACTTTTTTTTTTTTAATCAAAGTTATTAAAAACCTCCCATCAAAAACGCCAGGTCTAGAGGGGCTTCACTGGTGAATTCTATGAACATTTAAGGATGGTATAATACCAATTCTACAGAATCTTTTTTAAAAAAATTGAAATACTTTCTAACTCATTCTAAGGTCAGTATATCCTGATGTCAAAACCAGACATACAAGAAAAATGCAGACCAATATCCTTCTTGGAAATTAACATAAAAATTTAAAACAAAATTTTAGTAAACTGAATTTAACCATACATAAAAAGGACAACAAATGTATCAGAACCGAATGGGTTTACCTCAGGGATGTAAGGTTGGTTCAACATTTGAAAATCAAAATGTAATTACCATATACCAAACAATTTAAAAATCCATACAATCGTCTTATTAGATGCAGAAGCAGCATTTGATGAAATCCAACATTATTCCTATTAGTTAAACTCCACAAGTATATTTTTTTTCTCCTTCTCTTTCTCTGCCCCATTTTTTTAAAGCACACACCCCTGTCTTGTTCCCAATATTAAGGGTAATGCTTACAGTTTTTGTCCATTGAGTATGATGTTGCCTGTGGGTTTGTCATATTATGGGTTTGCCTTTATTATGTTGAGGTATGTTCCCTTTATTCCCACTTTGCTTAGTTTTTATCATAAATGGGTGCTGGATTTTATCAAACGCTTCACAAATATATTTTCTAAAGGCATTCTCTCCTCTTATTTTCTGGCTTCTGTTCCACCATTCCACTATTTCTGCCTTTGCTATATTCACCAGAGTGTACTTTCGAGACACAATATATAGCAGTTATTAAAATAATGGACTCTGGAGATAGATCGCTTAGGTTCAAATCCCAGCTCTACCCCTTATTATGTGACCTTGAACAGTTTTAACTTTTCCAAACATCATTTTTGCTATCTACAAATTGGAGATAATATGATTTCCCTTACAAGGCATTCTGAACATTAAATGAGTATATATACTTGTATATAACACCTGAAAGAGTACCTGGCATATAGCAAGAACTATGTAAATGTTAGCTGCTATTATTATTATTATTATTTATTACCTTTGGAAATGCCTAGTTCTTAAACTCTGGTAGTTCTCAGATGATCCTATTTTGGCAAGTGAAACTGAATGAGAGCAGTTATAGGATGGTGAGGTCAAGGAAGAGCCTGGCCTTTGAATCCCAGCTCTCTCATTTCCTGGCTAGGTGGCCTTGGGCACATTACTTCACATCTCTGGACCTTGTCTTTCACCTTTAAAAGGGTGACAGTACCTTACTTCATCAGATTGGTGTGACATATCTCTTTTCTGTCCTCAGTCTCATACCAAGGCCAGACTTGTTTTACCAGAAAGCTTTCCAATGAGACTGGTCCCAGGCCCAGCTTCTGCAGGAAACAGCAGCAAATGCTCTCTCTCAAGGGGAGGTCAACATCTCTCCACATCTAAGCACATCCATCTCCTGCTGTACAGTGTAGCTCCATATAAATCCCACCCTCCTCCCCACAAGGTGCTGCTCATCTCTCTGTATACTGGGCCCACCTCTGGGCTTTTTGATTCTCTGTCCTGACCCATATTTCTATTTTCAGGCTGGTTCCCGCAAACTGTTTATGGTTCCTTTTCTCTATTTTGTTAAATTTATCTTCTTTGTCCCCAGGTATGGGCTAGCACCAAGTAATTCCGTTTTAGTAGGCTTTAGATAGACGAGTTTCTCCTCTACCGGCCGCTCTCACCCAAATCGTAATCATTTTACAGTGGGGCAACAGCAATAACCTCCTTGCTGGCCTCCCGGCTCCAGCCTATTCCACTCATAGCAAAAGAACCTTCTAACTCAGATATTCTGAACAGTAGTAACTCTGAATTCTATTAAACTAATGGCTGAAGACTTAAAGATGCCCCCTGCTACTGACCTCTATCTGGTGGACTTCATTTTTCAACAGTAAGATCAGCAATACAACAAACGAAGTTTGTTCTCATCACTGTATAATCCCCAGGCATAGGCACTGACTCGTAACCGTAACTTGACACAGTACTTAAGAACATGGACTCAGGGTACTAGGTTAGAATGGTTCCATTCCTTGTTAGCTGTGTTGTTCTATGCCTCAAACTTCATGTGGAAAGGCAATAAATAGTACCAACAACAGTATCAATTAGGCTTAGAGGCTTTTGCAAGAATTACACGATGTAGTCCATGTAAATCACTAAAGACAATACAAGGCAAAGAAATGTTGGGCACAAAGTAAGCACCCAGGAAGCACTAGCTGCTACAACTCTCCTGCTATTATTACATTGGCTCATAACATAAGGCCCAGGATCTGGCACATAGTAGGTGGTCCATACGTTGAATCAGGAACAGATACTCATTCTTGCTCCTAAAATTACCAAAAATTAGAGAAAGGGAAAGGTTTTAATCTGGGAATTTGACCTACCTTTAAATCTGAGTTGGCTGCAAATTTCTGTCCAATTAAAGCTGCATTTCCTCCTACATAGTGCTGTAAGATAGTTCAAGGTTATTAGAGAGTACTTCAAGTGCAACTATGTTACCCAAGCTTAATAATTTTTTAATTTATTGAATTACTTTAGTCTATTTTTTCCAAAAAAATGTTGAGGTGACTTTACAAGGACACACATGTAAGGTTAATAAGACATTAAACCCATAGGTTAATTGACTATGAGTTACAAGGAAATGTGAAGAAAACAAATACATTAACCATGGAAACTAGTATGATTGCCTTAACTGTGGATCAAATTTGGCCTCGAGCTTCCAGGCAGCCAGACAGATAAAGGAAAGATAAAAAGTGTTCACAGATCTTGTATTCTACACTGTAATCCTTCTAAAATGAGTACATAATTATGTTATTCTCCCCCTGATAATCATCCAATAAACAGTATAATGAACTAAAACCCAAGTCTTATGTGAAGCACACAAGGCCTTTCTTTATCTGTCCCTGCTCTCCTGTCACCTTCCTCTCTGCCCTTTCCTTCCTCACAACGCCTGCAGTTCTCCAAGTCTGCCTTCCTCTCTCTGTGCCTTTAGCACATATTTTTGGTTGGATGACACCTGTCCTCATATACTGGTAAATCCCAGATCACTTCTCAAGAATCAGCTGCAGTATCACCTCTTCTGCAGTGCCTTCTAGTCGTTTTCGTCCACTGCCTAATCAGCTTCCACAAACCCCTTCCAGACAGGATTACAGAGCCCTTGCTAACTCTACACTCTGAACAAACCCTATTCCACCCCTTGTCCACTTGGACTATTATCATTTGGGTACATGTCTAGCTCCTTCAAGGCAGGGGCTCCCTTTTTTTTACAATAAGTGCTCAGTAAATGTTTGTTGCTAAATTTTGAGAAAAGAAGAAACACACTGATGTGGAGGGAAACACAGAAGCTTTCCAAGGAGAAAATGTTGTCTCCTAAATATCACATCTCTAAGCCAAGGACCTAGAGCTGGAGAAGAGGTAATTCAAGGCTGCTACTCCACGCTGTTGACTAAGGATGAGTTCATGTGCTTTGGAAACTTGACAAGCAGGAGATAAAACTGATGTTCTATTATGAAAGCTGCTAAGCCTCATCAACAGAATGCTACCTAGTCTTCAGTCCCACACAGAGGCATAAACCAAATAAATAACTCGATTCTAGATGCTAGACATCACTTGATGCCAGGGTTTTGTCAACCAATTACTGGATTCAGGTGGGGCAGTAACAGCTTTCTATGGATAAATTTAAAACTTTCTGTGTTATATAGGCTAAAAATGGTCTTTTAACATGTTACCTTAATTTTTTATTTAACTGCAATGGCTAGAATTTACTAAATATCTTAGGGGAAATATTAAGATTCTATGAGGTTATAGATTTTACAGTTCTCATGTAATAGTTATTAACTGCTGTTTAATCAGTCAACCTATTTCAAGGGAGTTTGAAAAGGCACCAAATGAAGCATCACCATAGTAGAAGATAAACAACACATTTTAGGTTTTACAAGGTTAAGAAAAAATTTGGATGATCTAAAAGCTAGGTAAAGTTCTATAGAAAAAAGAATTTTTTTGTTATGAAACAAGTCAGGATCAAGTTAGAGAGAATACAATGGAAATCAAGTTGGTGATTTAAATACAACATCACAAAGACTTTAAGCAGGAGACTCATCATCGTGTTAGAATGATCAAGATTACTTCCTAAGAGAATAAAATCTCACTACTGTATTCAGCTGCAAAACAATAGTAACTGAAATTTTAACAGCTGCTGTCTCCTTCAGAAACTCAGTTGGGTAATGTCCATGCCCACTTTCAATGTTCAAATGGGCAGTCTCAAAGGAAAAAAAACTTGAAAATCTTAAAAATTATCAAAATAAAAGTGGTCATAAAGAACAGCCTGTGAAAGGTATCAATTAAAAATGGCATTAAGAGCTACTCTAGTAAGTCACACCGAGACTTAGGTGTCTAGCCAAAGGAAGAGTTTAGGTAAGAAGAATTAGGGGTGGGGTACAGTGGGGTAGAGAGATGTTTAAACTACCAAAACTCGACCTCAAGACACAAGGGAAAGGGTGGACTGAACCGGACTGGTTAATCTGTTTGACTAAGGTCTGCTGCTGAAATTAGCTGGAAGGTGGAAACACAGAAAGAAGAACACATGTAAGGAAAAAATAGTGAGTTCAGTTTCTGATTAAAGTTTGAGATCTTATTCAGGGGGAGTGCAGTAAGAATGGACGTGACTAATAAAAATAAGCATTTTGTGCTATGCAAAAAACAAAAACAAACTCGACCTCAAGAGGCATGAGGGCACTTGTACCAGCAGGCGTGCTGGGCCCAGGCCTGAAGCCACGGTGCGCTCTCCGTCTCGGTACTCTCTTAACTCTGTGTGAGTCTCGCAGAAGCTGTCTGGATGATGCAGGCCCCAGAGCTTTGCTTCTGACCACCAGATGGGCCTGGGGTCCCCTAGTTCTATCTCCGACAGGTTAGAACCCTGAAGACAAGGTGCTCAGAACAAAAGCATCACTGTAACGAGAAAACTTGCTGGAAGGGTAAAATTCTTGGGTGCTATCTCACGTACACTGGATCAGAAACTTTAGGAGCAGGGCCCAGGAATCTCAATTAGTTGAGAGAATGTGCTCAACTTCGAAACCACCAATCTAGCCCTGTGGTTCTCAACCAGGGGCGACTGTACTTCCTCCTCTCCCCTGGAAACATTTTTAACTGTCACCATTGGGGAAAAGAGGGAGTGCTACTGTCATCTAGTGGAGAGAGGCCAGAGAGGCTGCTAAACATCTTAAAATGTGCAGGAAACCCCCCACAACAAAGAACTGTTTAGTCCAAAATGTCAATAGTGCTGAGGTGCAGAAACCTTGCTATGGACCAGCAGACCAGGCGTGAGGCCCCAGCTGCCCCTTTCCCAGACAAAGGCTGGAACTAGTTCCCTGTGGGTTTGGCTTTGTCTTCTGTTCAGGAAAGACTAGTCCTGTCACAAGCAATACCCAAACCAGTTAGTAGATAGCATTCCTCCCTTAAACTTGGGTAACATGCAATGTAAATGGATGAACCAGAACCAAAACTTTAGTAAATATGCTTCATAAATTCTGGCTGAATTGATCTGACTTAAAACAACAGAGTTAATGGAAGGTCAGATACACCGTTTTACAAAAGAGAAAACACTGCAGAATTGGATTCCCAACAATCCCCTTGGGGCAAACTGGAGGAAAAAGTTGCTTGGTTGCTTCTAGGAACAATGTAAAAAAGCTATCTTTTCCCACCACCCCCAAAATAAGATTTTATTTATTTTTAGAGAGAGGGAGAGAGAGAGAGAGAGGAAGAGAAATATCCATGTGAGAAACATTGATGAATCCTCTCGTATATGCCCCAACCAGGGACCGAACCTGCAGGCCAGGCATGTGCCCTGACTGGGAATCGAACAGGCGACCTTTGCTTTGTGGGATGATGCCCAACCAACTGAGCCAAACCAGTCAGGGCTCCCACCCTATCTTAACTTACTACTGGTGAACCAAACAGACCTGGGCTCCTGGGAACTCGGATGCAACCTGGGCAATGTCATGGAAAGTTTCCTTATCGCTGAAGAAGCGCTCTGCAGCTGCTCCCTTCCCCATGAAGTGAGTGAAGGCATCTTCCAGATCATTCCTTGAATGCAGGATGGAGTGATCTTTCCCATCCCCAGGATTCAGGCCAAGTGCCTGCAAGAGCTTCACCCCTGAGAGCACCACATCCACACATGCATTGACTCTGGAAGGAAGGACAGAGACGTGAAAGAAATGAGCAGAAGCCCCGGGGGGCAGCTGCTTTGTATTTCACAACAAGGAAATGTTTCAGAGAACTGTATTCAAAAAGAAAAACAGATGAAATGGATCTGAAACCTGAACTGGAAAGAACACATAGCAGAGGGAAGACTATCTGAATATATGTCTTAGGATCAGAACACAGGACTCTCTTCAATAGTTTGGCAAACTTTTACACTAGTTACAAAGAGAGAAAATAGGTGCTCAGCATCTCAGAACAGAGCTATCATAGTAACACAAATAGAGCATTTCTGAGAAAATGCTGGTGAAGCCAAACTGTCTGGATTCACACTGGCTGTGTGACTTAGGCAAGCCACTTTTAATTTTTGTCTCAGTTTCCTCATCTATAAAATGGCATAATATGAGTATTTAACTCATGGAGCTGTTGTGAAGATTAAATAAGTTAATATACACTTAGGAATAGTGCAAAGAAAGAGGCAAGTGCTGCATCACCAGGTTAGCTCCATGGAAATTATAAAGAATTAAAGTTGTCTGGCATGGCCTCTCCTATGTGTGCAGGGACAGTTCTGGCTCATACTGTTAGTGTTTCTTAGCGAAGAGCCATCCCTTAAAAGAGAAGGGCCAAATTTGGTAGCTAGATGAGGTCTTCCTACCCACCCCCTCCCCTTGCCCCTGGTCACTAATCCTGCCTCTGCCTTTTGGAAATGTCATTCTTGGCAGCAGGGCTGGATGATCACACAGGCAGCTCCCAGCCTCTGAGAAGAGCAAGGCTCACAGCAGGCCAATCAAAACAGCTCCTGGTGATAAGGGGAGCTGAGCTCCCACGTTAATTCTGGGGAGCTTTGAAACAAGGTTTCAAACTCATCAATAAAGAAGGCTCAATGGATTGAATTTTAGGGTGAAATACATAGCTGTTTCCCTTTTGGTTGCTCTAAGAAAATCTCTTGATCTGGAAATTAACACATTGCATCATAAATGGTTGCAAAATCTAACAAGAGGAATGAGTTTGTGGTAAGGGAGAGGAATTTTATTTTTCATTAGCTGTATTTCTAATGTTTACAAACATGCATTACCTTTATAACTTAGCAAATAACAATTTTAAAGGTTCATATATACAGGCTAGATATTATTTACAACACGCAAGTAAGGCTTCCATGGATAAGGAAGACACAGCCCTCCTCATGACACGAACTGATTGCATCCTTGTCATAAGATTTCTTTTATTAATTCCCCTTCCATGGATCCCATGTTTTTGAAAAGATTTTTGCCTACAAAAATTTAAACATTTAAATACCCACTTTCTTATTCTTTTAAAGTCAAAGGCACATTATAACTCTGGTCAACTGGAAAAGCTCTGAATGCAAGCATGCCTTTCAGAGTGTAAAGCACAGCAACATGCATGGGGCAGGTGTTGAACAATATGTTTAAAACACATTCCTTTCATAGCCTTACGTAATAAGCCAAAGACACTTTGTAAACTTGTCCCAACTCCACCTCATGCAGTGTCCTGTATTTCTATGGAATGCAACATTGAATGTCTGAAGGGAGAATCTTAATAGGAATACAGGTATCCCTGGCTCTCAGGCTCTAGTAGGTTCCCAAGTTTCAGACAGTGAGGGCTTGGATAGCAAGAGATACTATTTCTACGAAACCGCTCTATACAGAAAAATGTATCCACACAGATTTGGGTCCTGTGTCTGGTCAGCAACAATTCAGATACTGAGCAACACCCATATTTGGAAATAATGACTTCAATAAACACATCACCTTCGTATCTAGTTATGCTGAGATCTTAAAGTTTGATTCTTCAGAGATAAGTGAGGAAGCTGAATTTGCAAAAGTTACAAAACAAAACTGAAAGAACATTCACTATATTGTGCGACACAAGACTAACACAACAGTACTAATTTTGAATTAAAAAAATGTACCATAGGAACATTTTTTACCCACCCCCCAATCATGTCGTGAATTTTAGGGGGGAAACAATCATATAGAGGGAAACTATGTATTTGGTAGCTTACAAAAACAAAAAGATCACTTAACATCTACTATGTGCCAGATACCAATCTCAGTACTTTTCACATGTGCTTTTTAGTTATATTTTATTAAACTTTAACCAGAGCAAGAAACCTTCTCTGCACTTACCTCATTCAACAGCATACTAAAATGTAAACAGGCACATTGCTTACAGGTTAAGGTGCTTCACTATCAGGGGAAATCAACATGAGGAGGGGACAAAAGAATCAGAAGAAAAAATTATGCCCATGTGACAGAGAATTTCACACTTTCGTAAGAAATGTGTCAAAGATTATGTGAGTTTAGAGAAAACACAAATATGGGTGAAATAACTGGAAAATAAAGCAAGGCAACAGATGCTGAAAGCTCAAAGAGGCTAAGGGGGTGAGCATAGAGGGTACTGGGAACCAGGGGGACTTACCTAATATTAGATATGGGCTGGAGGCAGGGGGACATAGTTCCCCCTTCTAGACTTCAATTTCCTTAAAGGCAAGAACAGAGGTTCTTACCACTTCCCTTTGTTTCACTATCTGTAAAATGTTTCCTAGAGTTATATTTTAGCTGTAACACCACACTGAGATATTACAAGAGCTAATCATAGTCTCTACAAGATATGAAACAGTAGAAATCCAAAAGGGAAGGGGCAATGGCCCCCGGGCTGACCACTGGATGGTGCTTTGGAGAAATAAGGCAGACATTTTCAGACAGATCACACCAATTTGCAAAACGTCGTACAACAGGAAAGCAGTCAGTAGTCATCACTATTTTCAGCTGAGAAAAGTTGAGTGCTCTAACGTCCCAAAGGCCATGACTGGACAAGCCAGTTTCAAACCCAGGTTTATCTGACACTGAAGCCCAAGCACGGAGCATGCACAAGAAAAGATGTGAATGAAGGGATTAACCTTGTGTTTGGACACGAGAAGAACGCTGATAAGAGTTTGAACTGAGAGTCTGAACACAGGAGAAGAGCAAGATAGGTTTCAAAGGTCAGGGTAAAGGCAGGTATGGAGAAACATAAACTGATTGTTCCGAAAGATGATGGGCTCATCATTCACCCAATGATGCTTAGATACCAGGGTCTACTTTGGGCCATATTCTAGAAAGATGTGGTAGTGGGCTTGGCACTGACCATCTTCTTGAAACTCTTCCTATCCTTTATTTCTCTGGCTCTTATCCACCATCTGCTAGGATGCTGGCGCCCTTCCAAATGCCACCCTTATCATTTACCTTCCTTTCTGGTTCTCTCCCTGGGTGAAGCTATCCACTGTGGCTTCAACCTAAGTGCTGGTGTCTCCAAAATTTGCAACCCTGCTCCCCAATACACTCCTAACTCCAGCCTCTTGTAGTCACAACTATGGCTGAGTTTCATTTGAAATCCCACAGCAGTTACATTTCCCCTCCTCTGAAACCAAACTGGTTACCTTCCACCACAAACTGGTTCCTTTTCTGTAACCACTTTTTAAAAATTTTTTTTAAATCATGTTTATTTCATTACAGTTGTCTCAGTTTCCCCCCCCCCCCTGCCCTCCTCCACCCATCCCAGGCTACCCCCTCTCCCAGAGTCAATTCCCACTCTGTTGTCCATGTCCATGGATCATTCATACCTGTTCTTTGTTTAGTCCCTTCTCATTCTTTCCACCATTATCCTCCTTCCCCATCCCCTCTGCTCACTTTCAGTCAGCTCCATGTTTCCATGCCTGTGGTTTATTTTGTTCATTAGTTTATTTTGTTGAATAGATTCCACTTATAGGTGAGATCATATGGTATTTGTCTTTCACCAACTGGCTCATTTCACTTAGCATAATATTCTCCAGTTCCATCCATGTTGCTGCAAAAGGTAGGAGTTCTTTATTTCTCTTTTTTTAAAAAAAAAATGCAGATTGATTTTATTTTCTTAAATGTCAAAATCCATTATAAAATATTAAAAAATTTAAATCCATTATAAAGTCTCAGCAATTAAAACAACATGACACAGCACAGAAATAATCAAGTAGATCTATGAAATGGGCATTCTAGAAACAAACATATTTATCTAACAATGTAATAGATTAAATTGATATTTCAAAACAATGGGGAAAATAAGGCTTATTCAACAAATAAGGTGTGTGGACCACTATTACTTGAAATAAAACAAATATAGAGCCCTATTTCACACATTATACAAAAAACATTCCGGTGAGTTAAAAACCAGTATGTAAAATCTAAGGAGTTTTAGGAGAAAATACAAAATAATCTTTTTCTTACCCTGAAGTAAAATATTCAAACCCAGAAGCTATAAAGTAAAACACTGACGTTATGACTACACTCAACATTTAAGACTATATAGTCATATACATATTAAAAAAAGTTAAAGGACAAGTAATAGAAAAGTATCTGCAACACATCTAAAAAAGGGTTAATAGTTTGTTCTTTTTTGGGGGGGGGGCAAAAATTCTACAAACATTTAATCAAAAAATTCATCAAGAATACCAGAAAGGCATTTAAAGCTTTTTAAAAATAATAGAAAAGGCAAGAAATATACAAAAACAGGTTTAGTTTCAACAAATAATAAAATAACAATTAAAATAACACATCACTGTCACAATCAAATTAGTATTACAAATACTGGTAATATCAAGTATTGATGACTCTGAAAGGAACTGGGTATTCATAGACTCTTTTTCTTCATCTTAAAGCAGTCCTGTTAGCGTATCTTGCAATGCTGGTTTGGTGGAGATGTATTCTTTTAGCCCTCTTTTGTCAGGGAAACCCCTTGTTTCTCCTTCTATCTTAATTAAGAGCCTTGCTGGGTAGCGCCATCTTGGTTGAAGGTCTTCGCTTTTCATGACTTGGAGTATTTCTCGCCATTCCGTTCTGGCTTGTAGTGTTTCTGTTGAGAAGTCAGCTGCTAGCCGTACCGGGGCTCTGTTACATGTTACTACCTCTTTCTTCCTTGCTGCCTTTAGGATTCTGTTTGTCTTTGACATTTGC